TCTCGGGCTGCAGGAGCGCCATTTCTCCAGAGAGAACCCATCCGGAGCTGAGCTGGAAAGGCAAGTGGCCTTTTCCGGTTCAGACTGGTTGGGGACAGCGGTCAGAGCCGGTCAGAGCTCGTGTTTGTGTTTGCCTTTGGGTTTCGTGCTTGAGCCGGAGTGTGGTGCCGCCAGACAGACTCTTGGCGGCTTCCCTCATGGTTCACCAGCGTGCAAAGGATGTCGGGCCGGGTGTGCGGCTTCCCGGGCTGGAGGCTTGGCTGGACATACTGGGGGCCTGGCAGGCTACTGCTGGGTGCACCCTGCCTACCCCGGGTCATCGTGCGGGACACGGACACAGGCCCCCTTGCATCCAGCTGTGCCAACCAGCAAGGTACACCTGTCCCGGGGCTCCAGTCCTATGCACCGTGAGCACGCCTTGTGCAGCTGCGACTTCAAGATCGCCGCTCCAAGTCCCCAGCAGGTGCTTCGACAGGGTCTTGGGCCACTTCCCAAATCCTTGCTGCATCTGACCCTCTCCCCGTCCTGGTCACCTGTGGGGAGCGCTGTCCTGAGGAAGAAAGCTCCCAGAGGTTAGGGGGTCTTGTTCAGGTGACACAGCTAGAACGTACCAGAACTGGGTCTCCCGAGATTCCCTGGGATGCTCTCTTCTATACATTTGTACTGAGTCGGTCAGCCTTTGGTGAGCTGCTGATGATGCTGAAGGTAATGTCTTCTTGAGTATTTACCATGCCGCAGGCCCTTTTCATGCATTGCCTTTTTAAGTCCAAGGGAGACGTGAATATCCACGTTTTACAAATTAGGAAATCGGAACCCTGATTAGGGTTCCACTGGGATGGCTGAAGAGAATGTTCTGGACCTACTAAGGGGGGAGGAGGGAGGAGGGGGGAGGGAAGGAAGAAGGGAGTTATTACCAAGGTCCCCATGCGGGATCCAGACCTGCCTGTAGGTCTGCCTGCCCCAGAACACTGCTCACTCTCCCCTGCACCTCAGTGCGCGTGCCTTAGGGGACTCCGAAAGACAGCCCAGCCCCTGAGCCCTCACCAGAGAGCCAGGCTCCCCTCCGCACCCTTCCCCTGTTCCTCGGGGAGCAGGGGCAAGTGGGCGATGCACTGTTCAAGGAACAAAACAAGGTCCTGAGAGCCCCGGGTCCTGACGACCGGGTCCCAGGGCCCAGCTTTGAGACTCGAGGGGGACAGCTGGGCAGGTGGGGTGGGAAACAGAAGATGAGAAGATATGTTGGCCTGTCTTAGCTTGTGTGGCCATAACAATATCTTGAGACTGAGAGGCCTGACATTTCTCTCTCACAGCTTCGGAGGCTGGAAGTCCAAGCCCAAGGTGTTGGCAGACTCAGAATCTGTTGAGGGCTCCTTCCCCGCCTTGCACTTGGCCTTCTTGCCGTGTCCTCACATGGCCCCTATGGAGAGCCAGAGAGATCTCATTCCCTCCTCCTCTTCTTATAAGGCACCAATCCTCTTGGATGAGGAGCCCATCCTTATGACCTCATTAACCTTAATTACTTCCTAAAAGGCCCCTCTCCAAATACAGGCAGGTGTGCTGGGGCTTCAGTGTACGACTCTGCAGGGGCGCAGCTCAGTCCATAGCAGGGGAGTCTGTCTAGGCGAAGGGACACTCTAGTTTATCTTGATACCTGGGCACCTGCAAGGGGGAAGGGGGAAGGGGGAAGGGGGAAGGGAGACCCATCTGAATGTGCCTCTGAGTCACGATCCCTAGGTAAGCCACTGGTCACAGCATCTGCCTCGGGGTCCTTCACGAGCACTGGTGGACCTCAGGGAGAGGCAAGGTGGCTTCGCCCTCCCATTTCCCTGATCAGCCTCTGATCCACGCTGACCCCAGGCAGGATCCAGCCATCCCAGCAAGTCTTCTTCTTGGTGCCGCCAGCAAGTTCTCTGACTGTGTCCTCCGGGTTGCACTTCTGGGGTCAGGGGCAGGGTGGGCAGCCAGAGGGCAGTATCTAGCCCAAGGGAGCATGGTCCACTCCATTCCCAGCAGCCACACTTCTCTCCTCTGCAGTTACAGTGACACAGAGGACCAGAGTCAAAAGAGGACCTGGAGACGAGTGGGCCTTCACTTCTTCAAGCTTTCAGAAGCAGGGGCCTGTGGGCTAGAACCCTGGTTATTGGAAAGGACCTCCTTAGATAGGATTATCATTATTATTTTTAAAGATTTTATTCACTTATTTTGAGAGAGAGAGAGCATAAGCACGGGGAGCAGCAGGCAGAGGGAGAGGAGAAGCAGGATCCCCACGGAGCAGGGAGCCCAATGTGGAACTTGATCCCAGGACCCTGGGATCATGACCTTCGAGGAAGGCAGACGCTTAACCGACTAAGCCACCCAGGTGCCCTAAATCAGTTATTATTACGACTAATGAGGCTCATTCCCGACTTAATTTGTTTATAGCCATGGTATGGAAGACAAATTGTATATAGAGCAGGCCACCTCTTACATGTTGAATTGTTCCCCCATAAAGATGTTGAAGTCCTAATCTCTGGTACCTGTGAACATGACCCTGCTTGGAAACAGCGTCTTTGCCCATGGTCAAGCTCATTAGAATGGGCTCTAATCCAGTATGACTGGTGTTCTTCCACAAGGGGGGGAATTTGGACACGGAGGCAGACACACACAGAGGAACGATGACAGGAAGACATAGGGAGAAGACGGCCATCTGTAAGCCAAGAAGCCCCTGATGGAAATCAGGGGAGAGGCCTGGAACAGATTCCCCCTCAGGTCCCTCAGAAGGAACCTACCTTGCTGACACACGGATCCTGGATCTCCCAGTCTCCAGAACTCTGAGACAATAAACGTCTTAGTTTGAGCCAGCCAGCCTGGGGTACTTCCTTACGGCGGCCCCAGGACACTCACAGGGCACCATATCCTGTGTTTGCTTGTTGCTTTGCTCTAGTTTATTAAATTCAGAAGTACCTACTGAGTCACTACCGCATGGCCCGCAAGAATGAAAGGAAGAGGTCAGGTTGTCTCTCACCTGAGGGAGACACTCCTCCTTTAGATGTTCTGAATCGGAGGCAGAGGCATGGCGACATGCTCACCCACTCCATGGTTTTCTCCCAGACCCCTGCAGCCAGGTAGCCCGGTGTGACTAATTCTGGTCCCTGAATGCGGACCCATGTTATGTGTGCCTCCTCTAGGCCTGGCTCCCGATGACCCTGAAACCCCCCCTTACCTCCAATATCCCCCCCGCCCCTGCCACCAGCACGATCTCTTCCCTTGTTGCTGGCTGGGAGTCAAGGGGCAGCGGTTCCTCAGAAGCCCTGAAAGAAGAATCTCGAAATGGAAGAGATGTTGGTGGAATCTCGAGACGGAAGAACGCCCGTGAGGAGCCTTCCCCGTGCCCCCTGACCTGGCGTCAAAGCACAGCCCGAGTGAGAAGTGGGTTTTACGTGTGACCACGGCAGAACATGACCTACGCCACTGAACCCAGTATCTGTGGTCACCCAGCTGACGGGCCTGGGCTTGACTGGGGGGTGGGTGGTTCTCACCTACAGCCCTACCCTCTGCGCCGACAGACAGAGGAAGGCTGCTCAGTGCCCCTGGCCCCTGGTCGGCGGAGAAGGAGAGATGCTGCCCCTGGGTACCAGAGCCATTCCGTGTAACCTCACCACAGCCCCACACGGCTGACTCTCACTGTCACTATTGCATTTAATCCCCACAGCAGGGCTGCCTAGGAGACTAACTCCCTGTGGGGCTGGTTTTGCCATTTGCTTGCTGAGAGAGGGGTCTGGGCTCTCAGACCACCTGGCCTGCCGGACCCTCTCTTCCTGCCCAGCCGCCCACCAACATTCCTCCCGGCAGCCTCCTGTGGAGTGGGAGTTCATTCGCGGTGTTTTTGTGGAGGAGGCTTTGCAGGAGGATTTGAGTTTTCCCCTGGAGACGCCAGAAAGACAGTCTGTCTCAGCCTAACACTAACGCCCAGCTCCACATTCAGGGCTGTTTCTGTGGTTACCTTTCTTCGGGGATATTTGGGGTGGGCGGTGGTGGTAGTGGTGGGTGTGGGTATGTGTTTGCTTTTCCAGGGCCCAGATTTTCCGGAGCTACTGGGGTGAGAGGCTCTGGGAAGCACAGTCCCTTATTCCTTCCCTCTGTGCAGGTGCCTTAGAAGGGGGACAGAGGAAGTCCGTAGGAAACACAGGTCTGTCTCCCTCCCTGACTCCCAGGCCACCTGTCCCTGGGACCGAGATGTCCACCAAACCCCTTCCTCAGCAGAGATGGAAGACCCACAGCATGTCGGGGAGGGAAGGACCAGAAGAAGCCTGCTCCTCCTTCCGTCCTTTTTATAGACGGGGAAACCAAGCCCTCCGGAGTTTCGGGGACTCGCCCAAATCACCCAGAACCGACAAAGGCGACCAGAACTGGAACTCAGGTGTCCCTCCTCCGGGTCCTCAGCTCCTTCCCAGAAAGAGGCGCGGGAAGGCTGGTGGTAACAGCTCAGGGGCCTGGCGGCGAGGGGGCCAGAGGGCGCCGGGAGGCGGCCAGGGCCGAATCCGGCCTCTTCCCTTTCTGGGCCACACTTCCTGCAGAGGACCGGGGAGGCGGGGGAGTGGGCGCCGAGCTGGTCCCTCCCGGTGCCGCCTCCCCGCCTCTCCCACACCCGCAGGCCAGAGGCCAAGGGTTAGGGAGGCGGAACCGGTGCTCAGCTCCGCTCCTGCCCCGAAAGCCACTAGGCCTGGGGCCGGGTCAGAGCCTAGGCTGGGCGGAGAGCGCGCTAAAGCGCATCGAGGGACCCGGCTCGGACGGCTCCGAGGCCCGGCACCCGAGGGCCCGCAAGAGGCGTGGTTAGGGACAGGGGCGCGACCCGAGCGGGCTTGGTGGGCGGGGCCAAGTCTGGGGGCGTGGCCGGGCGGGGGCGGGTCCGCAGGAAACTTGAGCGCCAGCCCCGGCCGCACGCCCCGCCCCCGGCCTCCGCCTCCGGGTCCCGCCTTCAAGTCCCTTCCTTCCCGGTGCTGGCGGGAGGGCCGCGGCTACTGCAGGCGGCGGACGGGCGGACCGGCGGACGGGCGGGCGTCTCCACCTCGCTCCCTCCCTCGCTGCCTGCTTCCTTTTGTTTTTCTGGGAGGCGATGAGCACAGGGCCGGCGCGGAGGCTGCGGGTGCACGGAGGCCCGCGCTCCTAGCCACCCTCCCGGCCTCGGAGCGCTCGTCCCGGGCAGCGGCCCGCGCCCGCCCCAGCACCAGCTGCGCCGAACTTGGGCTCGGGAAGCCGGCGGACCGCGTCCTGCGCCGGAGCAGGTAGGGCAGCAGGGGACTGCCGGCTGCGGGCAGTGCGGGCGTGTGCACCGGCGTGAGCTGCGACCGGGCTCTCTGCGTGTGTGTGTGTGTGTGTGTGTGTGTCCGCGCGCGTGTGTGTTGGGGGTGCCTGTGTTTGCGTCGTAGAGTTGTGGGTGACCGCGGACGGTGGTGTATCCCTGGAATGGCGTATCCTCGTGGGGATCCGTGTGTACTGTGGGTGTGCACATTTGGGGTTGCGTTTGTGGAATTGTGTGTCCGGGCGCAGTTGCTGGTGGGGACGGGTGCGGGGCGGGTGGCTGGTGTGAGCGGCTGCGCGTGGGGCGCGGGCAGCGGGGTGGGCGTGGGCAGTCCATCCCTGCGTGCCGAGCCCTCTGTCCCCCGCCGGCCGGCGCAGTGCGGAGCTCCAGGGGCCCCGGGGACAGCTGGCATCCGAAGGAGCTAGCGCGGGCCTCTGGGGCAGCGTGGGCTAGCCCCCCTGGGGGGCCGGTCCGTGCGGCCCACGTGGGTGGCAGGTGGGCTCCGGCCAGGGTAGGGGACCGGCTCGGCGGCCATCTGCTCCCTCCCCACTAGGCCGAGGGGCGACGGACAGAGCCGTGCTCCGGAGTTAGGAGACCTGGCCTCGCCGTGACCCGCACTGCGACCTGGGCCAGACACGCCACCTTCTCTGGTAGAGGTTTGCTTCTCTAGCAAATGGGGACAGTTCCTCCCCCGGGGTCTGCCGTGACATTTCAAAGGAGAACGCATCAAAGATGGCTCTTGGCCCGGTGCTTGGCACATAGTAGGTGCTAAGTTAATTGAATTAGTGTCAATTGGTGCCTCTTTTTTTTTTTTAACCCTTTTTTTATTCTTTATCTTGGGTGGGGCTATTGCATCCCCTGCCCCCACCCCCACCCATCACGCCCCTAACTTAACTGCGAAGCACCGAGATTCGAGAAAGTTTAGGCTGCCGGCTGCGCTGCCTGCTCGCCGCACCTCCCTGGCGGCGCCGCCTCGGGCGTGCAGCAGGGAAGGCTCCCGCGCCCGAGCTGGGGGTCCCTCTCCTGGCCAACTGCGGCGGCTGCTGAATGAGTCGGGAGCCTTTTTGTTCAACAAGTGCCTAGTCCCCGGGGCTTGCGGCTCACGGAGTCAGGGCGTGAAAGTGGCGCTCCCCGCAGAGACGGACCTCGGGCTCCCAGGGCATCCTGGCCGGGCCTGGTCAAGCTGAACGCCATCCCCTTGACTCCCGGCCGATACCGAGTCCCCCTAGAGGAGGGTGTTTGCCAGGACCGCAAGTCCTGCCTGGGGCCTCGGAGTCGGACCCTCTGACCCTCCCCCCATCCACCCAAGGGCGGTTCTGTTGATCAGCCTTACGCAGGAGCCCAGGGGTCCGGGGGATCCTTCCTCCTAGTCCTACACCTTAATTTTTAAAATATTTAGTTCGAAGCCTACTACTACGTAACACTGAACTGCAGTGAACACGCACACCCTGGAACCACGATTCGCTCTCAGGGAGAGTCCTGCCAACTGCAGCATCACGCTTGGGAGACCCAGCGGGGCCAGCTGGCCCAGGCTGGCCTGCTGCCTTCTGCCAGAGCTGGTGATTCCTTCCCTCCATCGCTGTGGCTTCTTTCTTCCTCTCAGGACCCTTCCCAGTTGGAAAAACAAATAAGCTTTCGCGATGGGAGTTGCGGAGGGCAAGGTGCATGGTTTTCTCAAAATGGAGCAAAGGCCTGGAAGGGGCAAGGGGGGGCGTGGGGCTGAGCAGCGGGGCTGTGCCTAGGGATGGGATGTGTCTCCCGGGGTCACCTGCCCCCCGTGGGTGTGCTCAGGAAAGCTAGAATCCTTTGCAGGATTTTATGACACAGGAGCAGAAGGCTCTTGCTTGGTCTGTCTTCGGCCGGCCCCAGATGCTGAGGTCTTAGCGGTGACGGCAGGCGGGGGGACCTGGAGGAGCCAAGTGTTCATCTGATTGGGTGTGAGGGGCACACTTAGAATGCAACCTGCTTTTTTTCTGTTGCAGAAAATGATTTTATAACCTAGAGGAGAAAAGGGCTTTTCATCTGAATCCTACTGTCTTCCCCATAATCAGATTGAGTAATAATGGGGAAAAAAAAATCAGGCTGGCTTTCTTAGCTCAGAAGACAGACCAAAAGCTGGGCTGTTTGTTGTTGGGGTTGCTGTTTTGTATTTTCCTGGTTAAAACCAGCCCTTTGTCTCAAGCAAACCAGTGCTTCGGCCCTAGATCTATTTCTGTTTCACTTTTGAGAGTGCCTCTAATTACTGAGCTCTTGAGGTTTTGTTGGATAATGTGCCAGAGGGAAGGCCCGGGGGCTCTGCCTCCCGCCTGCCTGCCGTGGGATGTGCTGACTTTTAGCCTTGCCTGCTCCCTTCGGGTCCCACTTGGATGCTTTCCGAAAGGTGAAAAATAGATGTCAGCGTGCGATAATAATTTGGGACACCTGGCATTGGCCATCAGATGCCTGGAAGCGCAGACTTGTGGAGAAACAACAGGTCAGACCCCCAGAAGAACAGAGATTTGCCCAAACCTGAGCCGGTGATCTGTTCATTTCCAATAAGCCCTCTAGAGGGAAACTCTAAGAGATAGAAAGGAGCTCAGACTAATGCCTTCAGAATTTTATCTTAATGCCCCTTTCTGGCCACTGGGCTGTGCAGAATTAGAAATACAAGCTGTTGAGGGACAAGGAGTGGCCTCGCCTTAGTGCACAGTCCCCATGGGGGCCTCCTCCTTCCTGAGCTCTGTCTCTACCTGGAGCTGCTCTGGAGTTTCATCCTGGTAAAGCAGTAGTGCTGTCTTTTGGGGGGGGGGGGTCCTGGGGGGTAGGGGGCTTGGACCCACTGCCTTTTTTGGCTCCATGTGCACACTTACTTGTAAGGCTTGCTTTTTCCCATAGAATACCCTATTGAGCGTTTGTGTATCAGGCAGTCTGTCTCCCCCTTACGCCTGTGGTCCTTCCTCGGTCCCAACTTATCCTGGGACCTTGTATGGCCACTTGTAAGTGACAAAAGCGCCCAGGTCACTTGGGGACCGGTGTTAATCCGGGATACTATTAAGGAGCCCCACAGTTACTTGGCACTACGGGGTAAGCTGTTTGGCGACTGACATTTTATCTAGATGAGGATCAAGTTTGTGTTAGAACTGAGCGTGCCAGCAAGCCCTGAACCAAGCTTGTTTGTGAGGGGACAGTCTTTCCAATCTGTGAGTCGCCAGCCTGGGATCAGTGGGGGATTAGGTGTGTTTTGCTAGTGTGTCAGTCCCGGATGTCATTGTGTTTGTGGAAGGAGGGCACTTACCAACCTTAACCGTGCTCTGTCTACCTTGGGATTCACCATTCTCCTACAGTCTCATTGGATTTCTTTGGTGTTTCCCCCGCCCACACGTAAGGCCGTGCATCTCACGTGGCTCTTGTCCTCTTCCCTTTGGGTTGAGTTTCTAATCAGGGGATGACAGGTAGTGGTATATGGAGATAGCAGAATAGGCTTAGGGGCTGTCCCGGTGACTCTTGCTCCATGGGGGGGTAAATGTTTCTTTCAAGTCACTTTCCACCCCCCCCCCAAAAAAAAAGGTTGGAGTCTAGTGGCATGGGTTTTAATGTAACTTCCGGTAATCAGTATGGTTTGACAGGTGAACGTTTCTTAGGCACTGATGAGCAAGGTGCGAGTCTAAAGAGATATTTTTTTTTATCATCAGGAAAGCACAGTAAATCCTTTAAGAGAGCCCTGCCTTGGCCATGTCCTTTCAAGTATAATTGAATTTCAGAGGCAAAGCTTCATATCTCTGTATTTATGAGGCATGACTAACTAAAGACACTTACGGAGAGATCCCAGGCTCTTCCTGTTGCAGCCCTCCCCTGCTGGCATCAGGTGGGCAAAGATGTCTTCTTGGGGCTCTTTTCATCTACCTTTTTTTCTTTTTTTTAAAGATTTTATTTATTTATTTGAGAGCAAGAGCAAGCGAGCAAGAGGGAGCGCATGAGCGGGGGCGGGGAGCAGAGAGAGAGGAAGAGACAGACGCCCCCTGCTGAAGCAGGGAGCCCACTTCGGGGCTCGATCTCAGGACCTGAGATCACGACCCCTGAGCTGAAGGCAAACGCTTCACTGACTGAGCCCCCTGTGTGCCCCTTCATTTACCGTCATAAGCCAAGTGCACCCCGCCCTCCCCCGCTAATCCAGCAGCCGTGTTTTCCAGATATCTGTTGCTTTGAGCTCTTCAGGTGCAGCTCAGGTGGGCAGGAAGCCAGGAGACGGGTCGGGGTGCTGGCATCAGTCCCACCTGCCTCACGTGACGATGAGAAGTTTCTGAGGAGCGAGGGATGGGTCGGTGACCCTTGGCTAAGAAGCACTCAGGCTAGTTAAGTTTGTATTCCCCGGGTAAGGCTGCCGTGATCTGCAGACAGGAAGAAGGCTTTGGGGGGTGTGCGGTTCCCGTGGGAGTCTCCCTAGATTGCCTCGGGACCCTGATGCCCCAGCTGGAAGCTTCCTTTGCTCTGTGCCTCTTTCGGCCGGGGAGGGGTCCCTTAGGCACCGTTCTACGTGCTCTCCTCTCACCTGGGCTCACGTCTGTGCGCTGGCTGGCAGGTGAGCAGACCTGAGCTCTTCCCACGCTCAGACCCAGCCCTGTGGTACACGCTCCGTGCTGCTCCACATCAAAGCAGAGCCCAGAACTTTCCTCCAGGCGGGTCCCTCTGCCTGTTGTAGTGATTGCCTCTTGCCTACTCATTCCGTACAGCTAGAAATCTCAGGAGTGTTTCTGGGCTCTTTTCCCTTTTCTTCATCCAGGAATCCTGAGTCGGTCAGTCGTCTGAGGCCCTAGCCCTCCTCTCCAACCCCACGACTCCTGTCTCTACAGGGCCAAGCTTTCTTGTCCCTTATCCTGGGGCCCTGCTTCCACCTGGGTCATTGCTGTCATCAGATCACTGTGGGAAACAGATTTTGTCATCTCACTCTACACTATGGTCCCCGCCCCCCGAGTCCCCTACCCCCGCTCCTCCCCACCCCAAGTT